TATATTGTAAGTTAATATGAAATTCATATTTGCAGATTTCTTTTACATTCAACCTGGAACATTTGGAGTGTTCACAAACCAGATTCAATTGATCGTTTGCAGTTGTCGCGCTTAGCTCATTTTCATTATCAACACGATGCAAGCATCTCACCGCTGTCAATATTTTAAGAACTATTATTTTAGTAATAACTATAAAGTTTCATAGAACATCTGCTTTACATTCAAATTATAAGAAATATGCTCTAACTACTTATGTTAATTTAATACAAGTTTTCAACCATTCTCCAACAGAAAATTTAGTATTTTTAATGCAATTTTCGCTTTAGACCATCCAAAACCTATGGCAAACTTAATCCTGAATTTCATAAACATGTTGTGTAGAAGTGAAATATATTGCAGGAGTTTTAATTCCGCTGTGTTCGCGATTAAAGAATTTTCCGTGAACATAAAGCCATCTTGAATATTATAGACATGTGTGTATTCATTTATTTAAACACTTTAATATAAAGTGAGGTTTTTTAAATGACATTATCTTTACAATCGTCAAATTCCCTTACTTATCCAGCAATATACCTTCACGAAAAAAAATCAGATAATTAAGATTCATTAAATTCTTTTTCCATTGCACTAATAATTCAATTTTAATATAGGAAAAGTTAGCCTTATCAGACCAAGCTAGTCCTAATCAAACATGGAGATACTGAACCCTTATTAAGATTTTTTAATATCCAATGAAATAATACACATTTTGAGCAGAGTAAACACGAACCTCTAAAATAGAGACGTGGGATTATGTGTCATGCAGAAGTATGCATCTCCTTCCGATAGGCCACTGCCGCCGTGTCCTCAGTGTCATAATTGTGCAAACAGAAAAATACGTAATCAATTCAATGTGGAAAATAATGGCCTAACAATGATATGAAAATTGTTAGTGAGCATTCGAATTAATGATTGATTTTATATGATTATCAGGTCATTTTTTTCGCCCATAGAACATCCATATGCAGGTGATGAGAGTATTTTGCTACGTTAACTAGTACGAGAACTTGAAAATGTAAGAGTTGAAGTCATCATTTTTTCATATAGTTTTCATGTTGTGATGTAACATATTCTAAAATTTGTTTTCACCTGTAAACCTTTACTGAGTGTTTTGTCCAAATACATTGTATATACTTAGTATAGACATTGAACATATCTTTTCTAGGTTACTAATACTTTCCACAGATACGTCTTAGTATAGGTTAAAAATGGGGAAAGTGGTGGTGTTTGGAAAAAATTTTTGTTGGTACTGAAGTTCGAACCCCCCCGCCACGAAATAGAATTTTCGTGTTTGGGAAATGGACATTTCCTTTTTTTTTTTTTTTGTTTTTTGGGGGGGGTTTTTTGTTGCTTGTCAGGTTTTTTTTTTTGAAGGTACAAAACGCGGACCTCCAAAACATCAGTTGGTATCAGGTGCTATGGAGGAGTGAGATCCCCTGTCGACTAGTAACATCCGCCGTCTGCTCCTTGTCATGATCAGGAAGATCCGACGACAATTCAGTTTGTATATAATGGCTTAACAATTGGTATGAGAAAAGTCAGTCAGGATTTGACTTAATAATAAACAGTATTTCCCGACAAGGACTGAAGGTCATTGTAGAATAGAATAGAATTTACGAAATGATGACTTAAAACGAAAATGCTATATTCTTATTTCAACAACTTGTTTGTCAAAAATTTACCTCGTTTTATACATTGTTCATACGTAGATCATGCTCTCGCGTATCGAATCGGCTGAGAGATATAAATTCCGTATGCAGGTGATGGTATATTGCTGCATAAGTAAGGGACGTTTGAAAAGTTAGTCATCACGTTTATCATATGGACAAACACCACCAAATGTTTTCCCATAGACTTCCATACAAACTTGAGCCCCTGTCACTCATACATATATTGAATTTCGGACAAATGGCCTTTTTGAGTGAAAGTTATTTGATATAACAATAGATATTGGAAAACAAAACATGCCAGAAAAAATATACCGTCACGAACATGGCAAATTTTACTTTCAATTTCCATTTGTATTACAACAAGGTGCGTATTGACACCAAATGAAAATCTCTAACCAAAGGGCACCCCTGACTTTCAAATTTTTACCTGTAACTCCTACATAAGGACTGAAAGAAACCCAAGTCATTGTATATTAGATTTTTATCAGCTTTATTTCACTTGTCAAATACATAACAAGTCTTTTCTCTTATTGAAAATCACGCGCCAGGTAGTATTTTCTCCTCCGCACAACTTTGGGTGTCCAAAATGTCTGCGTCCATGTATGATGTATTTGTTTATGTACGGGTTTTTCCATATACCGGGATAGCTTAATTGTTGAATTAATATTAACGTCTTTTTCAGATTAAGTATGAAACTGATGTATCAGACTTTGTGGCATCTTTTATTTCAAGCCCACTGGAATAAATCGTATCAACATAAGAATTGAAGTGACCATTGTTAACTAACTAGACGTCGTCGATATATCTTAATGTCGAGTTAAGGGCCACAGCAAGTGCTTTCTTCTTTTCACAAATAAGATTTTGGATACATTCTGCTTCATATGAATACAAAATTAGGTCTGTTGATAACGGGGAGCAACTGATAACCATGGTTATTCCAATAGATTGGTCGAAGACCTGGTCTCCAAAAACCACATGATATTGTCAATCAGATACTCAAATATCTTTCTAATGTCAACTTCATAGCTCATATGTGTAACATCAGAATGTTTTTTTTCACAAAATACTTTTGTAAAAGACCAATGGAAAGGTCAGTTAATTTACGGGTATCATTTTCATTGAAAAAGCAGCTGTTAATGATATAAAAAAGCATGGACTTTAATTTATCGTGAGGAATGTTTGTGTATAAAGTAGAAAAGTAGCAAATTTTATGCTGTTGATTTTGGTAACATTTTGTGATTTCAAATTTTCAAAAAAATTCCATGGAGTTTTTAAGTATCCTATCTTTTTATACCACTTCTCGAATATATTGTTGCACAGTACTCATGGTGTTTCCCCTTCACTAGTGATAATATTTTAGTGAGGAGTAAGGAAAGAGGCTTGGTAAATCATTTACCGGAACCCACTATGTATCTTTGTTTGTAAGAATTTTCGTAAAGTTTCTGGGCCCCGTTTTACAAAAGAACTTAAGACTAAGACCAAAAACTTTAGTTGATTGAAAATTTTTTTTGCAAAATTAATGATGGAGTTTAATATTGCTATCATAAAAACATCTTCCTACATTCCTTTAAAAAAGTTAAAAATCATCTTCAATTTAATGCAAATAAGAGAATTATAAGCAGAATAAATTTTGGTCTTAGACGTAAGTTCTTTTGTAAAACGGGGCCCTGAAGCCAATTCTGATATGGTAAAACACATTCATTCTAGTTGTTAGGACCATTAAAAAAATATATACGTCTTTAAGCTTTTTTCCTATTAAAAATCCAAATATGAAAAGTTAGCAATTTTAAACATAAAAATATAATAATTTTCAAATATACATGTAATTAATCAATTATCATAAGATTTGTCAAATGTAAGCAAAATTCAATGATGATCGATGTCATCGAATGTAAACGGAAATGACACCATACAGTAGCATTCAATGTCAATACTAATATATGTACATTTGGTTTTCGTATAGCAAAATACAAGTTAACTTATAACAACTTTGAAATAAATTTCAGTAAAAAAACTTTTTTCTTGGAAGTTTTTCATTAAAAAATATTGTACAAACTCCTCCTGAATAACTTATTCAAGATAGATGGATCCAGTTATTCTATTCAAAAAAGCAATTGTGGCAATATGGTTCTATTTACTCCATTTAAAATTAAAGTATTTCGTATTCATTTGTCAAAATTATTTTACTCATTCAAATACTACTTAAAACTAATGTATGAAGGATTGTTTCTTCAATTGTTTCATCTTGTTCAGCAAGATTGTCAACGTTAAACCTTTTTAATTATGGTTTTATTGAAACACTTTCATGTTTTATAATTTTATTTTGTTATTTTGGCAGTGCAATACACCTGTCAAATGATATTCAAAACATTACACGATACACAAAACATACACTACATCATAAAAATTATATATACATCACATACAAAAATATAAAGGAATATTTATTATCATACTTAAATATTTACTATACAATGCCATTGTGAAAATGCTGAGAAAATAATGCCCATCAGAAAAATTCCATGATTATTTTTCCTCTGAGAAATGAAATAAGATATGGGTTGAATATAAGAAAACAGAATTTCGAGGCAACATCAAGGTCATGTTGTAAATATCACTCTGAAACATATGTGAAAGAAATCTGTTTGGCTTTCTTCATCAAAAGATGTCAAAATAATCACAGACAAATGATATGGATGATCAGAGTAGTAAAACAAACAGCCATGTCCAACATATCAGATTCACCAGCCAGTTTACATGGGATACACTTGAAGAATTGTACATTTCACTAAGATGATCGTGGTTCAGTTTCACTTCGATCGCTCGTTGAGTACTGGTGTGGTTAAGATGAGGTATTAATTTGTTCCAAAAGTGCATTTTCCTTGGTCTAAAAGAATTAGCTGTTTCTATCAATATTTTTTCGCTCCTTGAGACTAGACGGGAATATTGTTTATTTCTTTCCTGGTATGGGGACAAACCATGATCTCTGAAAAGGAAACATACTTGTTTTTTTTAAAAAACAATGAAACGCAATTATTTCTAGTATTATTCATGCTAAAAGCTGAATCTATTCCTAGTTGAAAAAAATGTCAAAGATAACAAATGAAGATAAAACTCATTATTCTACTTGTTAAACATTTTCGAAAATTATATTTTTTCTTTAAACACATTTTTATGGACTTATAGATTTATATAGCAATTTTCTATCGCTGATTATACAATCTTTTTTCTATACTCAATCACCACAATTTTAATAAAATTGGCCCATAAATAACGAGATAAAAAACTTACTTTCCCTTCACAAAATCAGTCCAAATCGTCATGGCTTTTCTGCTTGCCTCTTTGTCTAGCTCGTCATACTTATATTTGTGATGGCCGACGAGTGGTACCCCAAACACATAGAACAAATCCACACCGTGTGGGACTCCTATTAGGCAGGTTGTACATTAATTTAAGAAATGTCATATTTACTAGTATTCAATACCTCTGTTGATTTTAAATACGTTTTATTTTTTTAATTTTGTTTTTGTAAATAAGACTTAATTTAAAATCAAGAAAATTTCGTAACTACTTTAATTCAGTAAAGAAATTGTTACTGATATATGTTTCGATGTCGTGACTATTTCCTAATTTAATTCAATTAAAGAATTAGGAATATGAAATTGTTATTGATATACATAGTAAAGGTCACCTTGCCAGTCCGGATGAGGTGAGTAGGTTGATACATGATCAAAACTCAGGAGATATATATCTTGTATATACTGACATAACAGATCAGCAAGGCGAATCATAGGAGCAAAAAATACGAAATCAGCATCCACCTGAAATTAAGACAAGAGAAAATTTATAGCTTATAGGCGTTGGAAAGCTGATAACTCTTGTTTTAAGTTACGTCAGTGTAAAATATTACAAATATTTACGTGTGAATGAAGCCTGAGTGAAGCCTTGATGAAAGATAGGGAAACTCAATGTTTGAGAGCAAAGCAGAATTATATTTTTCCCCGCAACAATCAGTAAGCACAGATTCCTTGACCTTTACATATTTAAGAAAAAACTTGATATAGAGGAAGAATTCTGCTACTGTGATTTTCACTTAATAGTGTAATCAAAGTGACAAGACGTTTTTGAAAACTGGCATCGATGAAATTCTTACACCTGCAAACTTTTATGCAGCCAAAATTTTCAAAATATTTTAGGATTTTTAAATCATAAAAACTAAAAATTAAATGAGTTACTCCCAAAGTAATTGCCCTATAAATCATAAATAAATGTCGTTTCCTCAAAATTTGAATTTTAAATGTTTGAAACATACAAACCTGCTGAAGCTGAATGTAGCGAAGGACACCTTCAATTCTTTGTATTCTTTGAAAACAATTTCTGAATATAAAACAAAATATCCATAACAACTGGGAATTGCAAGAATTTACATATTACTTACATGAATATTCTCCATAAAAATAGAATAAAAATTCATCTTTTTGTGAACATTTACTTCAAATTAGCATATTTTTCTAAGATATAGGTATTTTACTATATCATAGTTTATTTTCTACAAGTAAAACCAATGTTTTGTAAATAAAACTCGACTTTGCATATTTCTATGATATAACATGGTTATCTGTTATCTACCTGAGTGAAATCAAATTCAAAATCTGCTGTTAAGAAAAATATTCGGTAGCACTGTGAAATCACTTATTTTCGTGGGGGTTGAATTTTCGTGGTTTTCGAGGTATGAAGAGACCAATGAATTTATGTCCACTATGAAATGTAACTTTTCACAAATATTACTAATTAAAAATTTTTCATCCACGAAATTAAATCCCCATGAACCCTTATTTTTCCTCAAACCACGAAAATTTGACCCCATGAGAATATGATTTTATAATAAAAGCAATATTTGAGAACTGAGCATGCATCCTTAAAATGTACTTTCTCAAATCTAAAAAAAACTGGGTCAGTGAACATGAAAAATTAGGTTATAAGGCCGTATAAGTAACAAAAAAAAATAATAATTACATAATGAGTGCACGCAAAGCAGCATGCAAGGCTAAATTCTTTTCAAAAGGCTGCAAATTCACATCAAAAGAAAATCCTTTCATCTTGATGTAGGTAAAATATTGGATTCAAATACTAGGTCTTAAGATCTACATCCTAATTAGCATACACTCACTAAATTGCAATAATCAAAAATAATTATGGGAAACGTTTATTCATTCAAACCCTCTGCGTCTCGCTACAGTTACGATGAATCAGCAATTTTGACAGAGTGAAATAAGTGCTTTCTCCCTAAACTGTTCATTGATTGGATTATGTATGTAAAAATTATTACATGTGATTCATTCAAAAAAGGTTGCTTAAACTGTTATAATGTTCATTGAAAGGGCTTAGTCACTATTCTAGTACAAAATGGGCACCTACTCTTACAAGAAGTATACCTGTAGTTCTTTTGATAGGTATTTTAACGTTAGACATAAAGCTAGCATATTCATAAATAAAATGAATAACACAAAACAAAAATAAATATACCTGTTCATTATGATAAGCCTGAGAAACATCACTTAATGTGCTTACATTATAAAATCTAATGAAACAAACACGTTTTAAACCAGTCATATTGGTTTCAAAACATGTATATGCATCATAAATGGTAGATAATAAAAGCACAGAATAACTTCGAAAACTTTATATCTGATACATTGTCAAAAAATAATACAGTATTCATTAAAATTAAATTTGTAGGGTAAAATATGATAATTGAGTCTCGTTAACAGAAAATCAAATGGTGGCTGTTTCGTACTTTTTCCTTCAGAGTTAATATTCTTAGATTTGGTTTGTGTCTATTTTTTAACGATTACTCAGTCTTGGGGAATAAATTCAAATACATGACCTTGGAATGTCTTGTTGAGATTACTAATTGGCTTTTATTTCACCTTATTCTCATTTTCAAAAAAAAATCTTTAACAAAAGTCAACTTTCCACAATGTGATGAAAAACCGAAAAGTAAGCTAATTCTATTTCTATGACACATACAACCTAATTAACGTAATTACCGAAATCTAATTACCTCTCATTAACAGATGCATTTCAAATAATCATTTTTCATAAACGGTACGTACTTTCGACTGTGAAAATAACCCGGATGTGGATGACAAATTACCCTTACTCACATCTAAGTTATCTCGCTGTGAGCTTTCGTAATCGATTTGAACTTTTGAATTTATCACCGATATCTCAGTGCCTCTTTACAAATCTAATAAGAATTAGCCTTACCGTACATGAGATGAAAGATTAAGACAAGATAATTGTTATATTCAATATCATTGATGTTACATGTTGAATGTATCAAGTTTTTGAGCACACTTCACGAAAAATGTAACGTAACATTTTAATTGCATCCAATGTTTTCATCAAAGTAAGAACACTGTAATAATGCAACTTGAAACAAGAACATATTCCAAAAGAGAGACAGGAAAAGCATGTGATATTTTACATGGAACAAGTAGTAAAAATGATATTTCTGTGACTAAAGTAAACACCCTATATTAAACATCAAATAATGTCAGAGGTTACTCAGAGAATCTCAGTGAATAGCCAATTAATGTTTGCGTGTCAATAAGAAGTAAATATGAAAGGAAACATACATGTTTTTGATCATCAACGATTCTTTTCACCATTTAGACAAAAAAATTATATATGATCTGAGAGCCCTAGAATTCTTTTTAGAAGTTCTGCAGAGGTGTGTTAGATCCAGAACTTTACTATTGCACAAATGTAAAACTTTGCGAATAGTATATTGAAGGATCAAATCAGTTTCTCTTAGAGGAAACAGTTAGAGTAAACCACCAAGCAAGAGTTAATAATAAAGACAACAATACATATCCAGATTAGGACTTGGTGTAAATAGCACCGTATATTATGTATACAAAAATGAATTTACCTGTAAAATTTTGTATGTTTTTATAAACTGTGTTGTAATGCCATAGGACTCCCGTCATCATCTCTTTGGAAAAGGTTTCGAAAAATTCTCGGTTAATTTCCTTATCTAAAAGAAATTTAATGAAAACTATACAATTATTGGTTTTGAAAACGATTTGAAAATAATAAACTTTGATTGTCTTTCTCAAATCCTGTAACAAATTTCAAACAAGAAATTATAAGACTATTGTTTATACACAGTATTACATACGGATTTTCCGTTTGTCCAATCAAAACAAGGAGCACATGTTGCTCCCATGGAATCTCTGATGTTTTAAAGAAATCCAGGTTAGCTTTGCTCCCATTTGTATTGTTTCAATTGACTTTTAATCTTCACTGCTATTCTTAATCTCCATATTTCATGCATTCTAACATTTTATGGATTCTGATCTATAGAAGTCTTGACTGGTTTGACAAAATTTTAAAGATGAAAATATTTCCTAACTCTTTTATACAACATTTTGGTTCAATCTGAATTCATTTTGTGATAATTTAAAAGAATAACTTCTAGTTATGGACATATGAATTTTCGAATGTTTCTTCCAATCATTTAAAATGTTTCTTCGCTGTAACATTTTGGAAAGTTTGGAATGTTTACTTAAAGACAGTATTTTTACCTCAATCCCTCTTAGAAAAATATTGACTTTCAATGAAATCACTTACACGGACAATACATGCATTATATTTCATTTTCCCAAAGTTATAAACTTAAATATACATAATTGTAAGTTTATACGATATTAAAACAATTTTTAAAAACTTTACTGAATTTTTTTTCTGTTTCTCAATTTATGATTTTTTTTCGTTCTCGTCATAAAATTCGACACTTCTTTTATTTAGTTTTGATTACTTTGACCTGGCGTTATCAGATCTGAGATCAAGAACCTATATATTCAGTTACCCATCTCTTGTACCTGACACGGAGGCCCGCTGAGTTATGAGTATTTTATGAAGCTGAACTATTACTTAACTGATGGACGATTTTACTAATACATTTACACTTTTATGGATTTCTTTCTTGACGAGAAGTGTGCTTTCCTCCTCTAACTACGACTGTTTTATATATATAGACAGATTATCAACCAGAAACTTTTAAGAAAGAAATATAGACAATCATGTATTTATTAATTTTTCGGTTGTATGTATGTGTTTTATGTTATATTTAAATATAAAAAAATTATGTACTTAGTATTTTATTTAACCCAATGACAAATAAGAATTAGATTTCGTCATTACCTAGAGGGAATCCTTCATCTTTGGCAAAAGCCAGCAAAAAATGGTCAGCATTAAGATTATTTTGGTATGTTTCACTAGGTTTTCCAATTAAGAATTCACCATCAATATTAGCTGGAAATGTCACCATATCTCTGGGCGTTCCCTGAAAGACATATATTTGTTGTTTTTTTTTAAAAAAAACAATTTTAATGATATATAGCAAGGGGAAATTGTCAAAAATCCAAACGATAATTGTCCCAGAAATAAACAGTTAATTACCAGCCCTCTTTTTAAATTGAGCTCCTCAATACTTAGAGATTTCAAATGCTCTTTGAAGGTCTTGCCATTACAGCCACCTTTGCAAGGAAGAATGTTATATCCTTCTGGCCACCCTGGGTCTGCCGTTGCCCAAAAGGCCAAGGGAGAACCACTGTGAACTATGACCCGCTGGAAAAGACCTGCACAAAATAAAACATTGTTAAAAAAAGTACAGATGTGATTTTAATTATTAAAAATTAAGGAATTAAAATGGCTTCAAATAACAAGCCTCTCTCCAATACAGTTATTTATTTTAAGACATACATTATTCAAAAATAATGTCATAGAAATTTGTAATAGTTTGACTTAAAAACCTTGTGGTCTATGCTTTTCTGGCTTAATAATCAACAACTGCAAAGTTTGCAAAACCTTTAGATAAGGGCGATGTTCCATGAAATCCAACATCGGCCGCACCTGCACTGTGGCCATATATGGTCACCATGTCCGAATTTCCTCCAAACTCCTCGATGTTTGCTTTCACCCATTTTAAAACTTCTACCTGATCCAGAAAACCGTAATTTCCCTCTAACCCCTCATTCTTTGCAGCAACAAAACCTATAGGTAGAAAATACGTTCTATTACATTCCAAAGCATTATCAAGACAGAGAAATATAATTTAAGAGTTAGTTACAATGACGAAAGGCAGAACTGTTGATAATGTAAATTCATAGTTTATCTACCAAAGTTTATGAAGTACATGTGTATATATGACATGTTTATTTCACTACAAGAGTAACAAATCATACTATGACGTAGTCACCATTAGACAAAAAAATTAAGGGTGTATCTTTCAAGAAGAACAAAATGGTTACCCTCAAAATTCTTTTGAGTTCAAGATCTTATTGAAAATGACAACCACCAAAAGAAAAAATGATTAAGCTCAAATTAAACATATTCCTGCATCATTTTCCTTCAAATTTCTCTGCCTGGTTACCCAGCACTCACCGTAGATCCCCAATCTATAGTTGAATGTGACGACAATAACCTCCCCGTGCCCCGCCAGAATGTCTCCCTCTAACATTGATCCCATTCCAACACGATTTGAGCCTCCGTGCATGTATACTAACACAGATGTATTCTTGATTTTGTTAATACTTTCTACCTGTCAACAGAGCGAATAAAGTTTCGTCATCATCATATAAAGTGTAAACTTGGAAAGTCATAAAAAATATAATGCAAACTAATTAATAATAAATGTTCGCTAATTGAACAAAATAAGGAGTGCAACCGGTCAACATGGAATGCTTTGGGCACCTGATCCCATCTCTGAAAATGTTCAGATGTCCGCGTTTACGCCCAGTTTACATATTTGTACCGTTGGTATTTTTGAGACCCGTCAATATTTTCATTATTACATTAATATAGTCCTCAAAGATGCAAGGGGGTGAAATATACTTAGTTAATCGTAGATTAAAACATCTTAGCATGTTTTGACGTGTATAATGTTTATGGCCTTTTGATCTTGAATACTGTACGTTACCTCCTAATGTTTCATCAAGTTGACATATAAATAGAGGTAACTACTGTTGATTGCTAATACAGTATGTCGTCGATATATATTTCTCGACAACGTATTAAATAGATTTATGTCACGTTAAAGACATGATAGCAAGTGTTTTCATCTTTTCATGTAAGGTTTTTTTCAATTCTGCTTCATATGAAAACCAATAATGTAGATCTGCTTATAACAGAGGAGTAATTGATTCTGATGGAAATTCTGTTGGATAGCTGAAAGATCTGATCTACAAAAATTACATAGACATTGTCAAGCAAAATATTTTAAAAAGCATCTTTTCAATATCAACTTTAGAGTACTTATGTGTGCAATCAAAATGTTTTCAAAAAGCAATAACTTTGCGAATATCTAATGACAACGTAATTAAACTTACGCGTATTTCTTTTTTATAAAAGGCAGCTATCTATGATATCATAAAGCCTAGACTTAATTATATCAAGAGGAATTACTATATACAAGTACAGACTGTTGAAAACACATACGTTTTGAGATTATTGATTTTGTAACGTTTTGCAATTTCGAACTTTCTAAAAATTCCCTTTGGGTTTTAAGTATCCATATCTGGTTTACAGCACTTCTCATATTATGTCTGACCAGAGTACTATTAATGCTGTTAATATTTAAGTGAGGAGTAAAGGAGTTTTGCAGACATTTGCACGTTATGTATTTTTGTAAGGATTTTTATTAAGATAAGGAAACTAGTGTAAGTAGCCATAGGGTAAAATAAATTCAATTTGATTCTTGGGAAAATAAAAATATTTCAAACTGACATATGATTTTATAAAATTCCCTCCTTCGAAATAGAGCCATTGGTATCAGTTGGATTATAACTTACAAAATTTTAAAATCCAGTTCCTCTAAAATTAAATTAAATCATGACTCCAGTAAGTGTTATTTTCTCACTTCCAGTTAAAGGTACATGTAGAAGGATATGGAGATAACGAACAGTATTCAGTCTCAAAGTCCGTAAAACAATACAAAATAAGAGCAGAGCAAACACGGACCCCCGAAACATCAGAGGTGGGAATTGCCATGGAGGAGTGAGCATCCCCTGCCGACCGGTCACACCCGCCGTGTGATCATTATCATAATTAGGAAATAACAGAAACATCCGTCGTCAATTCAGTTTATAAATAATGGACTAACAATTGGTATGAAAAACGTCAGTCAGCATTTGACTCAATGATAAATTGTATTTGCTGACAAGGTCATGTATGCCATAGAACTTACGAAATGATGTCTTTAAACGAGACTGCTGATATTCTTGTTTCATCAACTTGCTTGTCAATAATTTACCTCTTTTAAGAAATTGTTCAACGTAGAGCATGCTCTTGCGTATCGAATCAACTGAGATATATATACTCCGTATGCAGGTGATGAGGGTATATTGCTGCATAAGTAAGGGAAGTTGACGATAGAAAAGTTAAAGTCATCACGTTTGATGATATTGTTGCACTATTAAGTAAGGTAACATTTAGGGATGTCAACGAGTACCCGGTTAACCGGGTATATACAAGTACAGTATCGAATACTAAAATCGATACTCGGTTACTCGGATGTATATTTTTGAATATTTCTATGCTTATTTATTAATGCATTAAACAATCTGTTTTAAAACTTTAAATTCTCATTGCACTTGTACCTACAGTAATTAGGGTTTCCTACTCCTCTAAATGACCGTTATTGCCCGTGGCAGTGTTTATACAGTAATTATCGTGACCAAGCACCTGTTACCTGGCTTTTCGACTGTCTTCCAACCTTATTTTTTTAATTTGCTTTAATTATTTGTTTTCACGGAACATAATTTCAGGTCTGTTATGATTAAATAAATTAGATAATTTTGTCAATTCTCCGAGAAGCCGTAAATTCTCGAGAAAAGATTACACGCGCGATTGTTAATATGGTTGTGTTTGATTACATGCCAATACATGTACAAATGGTTAAAGGCAAAGGCTTTAAAAAAATGATTTCCATCGTTGCACCAAACTAGAAAACACCGTCCCGTAATACTATAAAATCTAGGATCGAAAAGTATACGAAAATCGTAAATCCGCTCTGTTAGAACTTGGTCAAGTTCAAGTCAAACTACAACTGATACCTGGACGTCAAACGCAACAAAGAGTTACATTACAATTACGGAGCAGATTTTTTTTTAAACAAAAACACCATGAACCACTTACGATTTTATTTCTTGTGTTTATCTGATAAATAAATTGAACTTTAAAAATTGTTTTATTAAATTTCGTCGGACACGAAGTGCTCATCATTATTACAACCGAAATGCACTTACAGCTAAACCTCCTATCAGAGCATGTGGTTTTATTTCTACAAGACTTTACAATGTTTTACATTCATCAATTTACTTGTTCTTATTTATTTACACTTTTACCGAGTACCCGGGTACTCGATCGGAAAAACGTCCGAGTAACCGAGTATTAAAAATTGACTGATTTGACATCCCTAGTAACATTATAAGTAAAAATATTTTTTTAAAATAAAAATATTTAACTACAGGTACATGTAGCATACTTAGCAAGTTTTTTCTTCTTATTAATAGTTACATGTTTCATGTTAATTTCTTTGCAGTTGTTGTGGATAATATTCTGTCAATGTAAATTATGTAATATATCAATTACTAACAATGTTAAATGCTTTCATTATAATTTATACTAAAAGTCAACAATCTTAAAAGATATGAACTTACAATTACATACAAAAAAAGTAAAAATTAGCAAATGTTATAATCTTATTGAAAGTTGAGTCATTTATTCATCAATTTAATCTGCCTAAAAATTAGTTACTTATTAAGGAAATACTGTAATATCACTAATTTTCGTGGGGGTTTAATTTTTCGTGGCATTCAAGGTAGGAAGAGACCCACAAATTTATGTACACCACGAAATGCAATTTTACACATATATTACTACTAAACAATTCTTCAACTACGAAGTCAAATCCTCATCAACCTATATATTTTCCTCAAACCAAGAAAATTTGACTCCTCGAAAATATGTGATTTTAAGGTATATGAAAACAACGAACAATATCCAAGCTCAAAAGTCCATTAAACAATACAATTTGGAGCAGAGCAATCATGGACTGCTTCCAAATTTCAGACGTTGGATCAGCTGCCATGGAGGAGTGAGCATCCTCTGCCGACCGGTAACACCCGCCTTGTGCCTTGTCTTGATCGGGAACTAACAGAAAAAACCAATACAAGTATGTATGGTGTATGTTTTCCAAAGCTCTCTCTCTCTCTCTCTCGTTTGTCATACTTATCGTTGAGAGAAAATGTTACCAAACGATATCTTCTCTGATTACTTTGTTAGTTGAGAATTGATAAATAACAAATATGTCTCTATTACCAGCAGTGGAGAAGTTATATTTATCAAAATTTTGAAAAATTACAAAGATAAAATTACTCTATTATACTGGTATCAAACTACAATCTTTAAATCTACGGACGGATAGTGTCTTGTTTTATTTCTAATCTTCTTTCAGATAGCTCCATATCTTTTAAATTTTGTTGCATTGTTTTTAGCTTTATCGTTTTATATATTTCGGTTATTATTTATAAGATTTTTTTAGTTAATCGGAACTATGACGTATGTTGCTGCTCTTTATATAAAACATTTTGATGAATCAAGACCAAACCCAATCTTAAAATTCTAGTATGGAGACAACGTGCTTTCTTTGAAGATACAATGGATTAAAATAAATGAGAACAGATTTTGTTCAATACTCAATGAATAGATGGCATCTGTGAATTTATTTTAAATATAGATCCTAGCTTCATTATCACCATGACTGAAGATTAATTGAACAACCTACAAGAATTTAATGTATGTAAATACAGGGGGGAAAAAAGACACGCGCCTTCTTCATTTTATCAGATCGCCCACAATTCAAGTTAGACATGCCCCTTAGTATGTTGGTGCATTTCAAAATATTTTTGTCATCTACGAAATATTTCATGGAATTATTTCATAATTCAAGGGAAGGATATTTTTGTAATAAATAAGATCTATAATCAAGAAATTCTTACGGGCGTGCCGAGAAGGTTAAGAAATTGAAATTCAAACACTGGATAAAAATTTTATTACAAAAACTCAGTGATATAATCGTTACGTTATAATTACTTTCTTCATTTTAGATAACTAAGAAAGCATTGGGATGGGTAAATTGTAAAGAAACGTAGAGTGTAGCCGTATTAAACTTTAATTTTGGAATAGTAATCTGGCATTATCTAAATTTCATTTTCCAAGGTTTCGCAAAAGTGGGGGAATAATGTGTGTTAAATTATTTTATCTATATTTCCTTGCAATTCTCTTAAAACTGAGTTTGATCTCAAAGAAAGTTACATATATATCATATTCTTTTTCGTTGATGAAAATATATATGCCCTAGAAATTATTTCTGAACGTATTCTTCATTTCAGTGATAAGAGGCAAGAACAGCGCCACAGGCCATAAGAGATTTCCTGAATGGCGAGGAAAAATTGTGAAAATTACTTTCTGTGAATTTTACGTCGTTTTCCATTTTTTTTTTTTAGAATAGATATTAATAAATTTAATGTCCCCTTATTTTATGGAGTTTAATAAACCCTAAATTGTTGAAAATTTTGAAACAAATTGCAATTTTTCTTGGCGACGTTGAGGGTCCTTGATGCAAAAGTTAAAGATAAAATACATCGATTCCATGGGCCACAACGCTCTTGTGAGTAACTATGGCCCTTCTTATTCCTCGTGAGTAATAGTTTTTCTTCTATTTATTCCTATGTAAAACTGAGCAACCCCATTGAGTACCCTTACCCAAACCCTCGATGTTATGATTTGAATAAACTTAATTCTACACTGTCAGAAGATGCTTCCATACAAATGAATATATGAATAAACGCTTTGGGGTACCCATCTCTTATCCGAAACTCCTCTCATACCACTGAATGAAATTTGATGAAACTTTCAAGAATCTTTATTACATATTCCATTGTGCACCTCCTATTTTACTTTTTGAACATATTTTGAACAGGAAAACATATATTATAACCATATGGGAGGCGGGGGGTATCATTTAGTGAGCTCATGCTCACAGTACCTCTAGTTTGTTCTGGAGAAGAAAATTTTAAAGAATTTTCCTATGTTTCCACATGTAAAACTTCGATTGGTGTGGTAGCTCTATTGTCGAGAGTCGTGATTTGAACAAATGAATCTACACTATTGAGAAAAATATTTTAAAACTTTTTTCTTCTATTTTCCTGTTGAAATTTTGAACACCCATTGTGGAGTTACCCTACCCAACTGTTGGGTCACAACTTGAACAAACTTGAATATATGACTGATCAGTCACGTCTTCACTGTTCTTTAGAGCTTTAAAGATTGCTTCCATGAAAAAAGCTTACCCATTGAAGCCCAAATTCCCCCAAAGATCCATGATTGAAATAATCTTGAATGTAAATAATGTTTGAATTAAAGCTTTCGCATAAGTTTCATCTTTGATCTTGAGAAGAAAACTCTTCAATGACCTCATCTAAGTTTTACTTTTTACTTTTTCTTGATTATCTCCCCTTGGAAGAATTGGTCCTTCATTTAAAAAAAGCTATCCGCTTCATCCAACATGTTACTCTGTGCTATTTGAGTTGAATTTCGCTCTGCGGTTCTAGAGGAAAAGAGGGGCCGCAAAAATCTTTACGACGTTAATGACGACGACACACGAAGGACAAGTTTTAATCAGAAAATCTCGCTTTACCTTCAGTCCAGGTGGGCTAAAACTGTACGAACAATACAAATTTTTGAACTGGACATAAAACATGGACCTTCGGGAATTCCAGACGTGGGATAAGGTTTCTAGGAGGAATAAGCATCCTTGTCAATCAGTTACGTACGTAGTGAGCCCTATAAGTATTGATTAGGTAGAGGAATATTCCGCAGTCAAATTCAGTAAAATAAAGGCCTAGCAATTGGAATGAAAAGGTCAGCAAAAACAGGACCCATAACATTCTATGTTAAAACCAATTACATTGAACTTGAGTTGAGAACTAAAAAAATGAGCTATCTTTTCAAAGCTTTGCCTTTGTAAGTGAGTATTTTGTTAGGAAAATAAAAATTCCATTCTTCTTTTAGCATTTTTTTTTTCGTGTCACTGGCCGCTGAAAAATTTCACTAGTATTACATTTCCCCCCTTATCCACAGTTGGAATATCTTGCATAAAGCATATTTACTTATCTTCAGTGGCAGCAAATGTCAATGAAATCAAACTGTTATCGAGTCAGAGATTAACAAAAAAATACACTAACAGATCGAAGGCGGTACAAGCTAAAGATTTTCTTGGATTGAGAAACTATAAAGAACCAGGTATTAGCTAAAAATACACATTTCTCTGTGGAAATCAGAGGGAGAGAAAGCGAATTGCAGATATAAACTTGATTTGGGTTATGGATTTTATATCAATAGATAACAGGTTCATTAAATCTGATGGATGTTGGAAAAAGTAAAGCAATAGAATGTTGCTCCGCTTAAAACAAAAATTACAGGGAATTGATTGACAATTTGTTTACGCTCCCTATAATAAACTTCTGTTTGTTTATATAATAAGGTGGTGTATTTAATATCCTATTGATGTTTTTATAACTATATTCTACTGAAGACAGAACTTTGTAATACTATAATAAATACCGGAGGTATGTATAAATTTATGTAAAGGCAATCTTCGCTTGAGTTGTGAAATCCTTCAAAATGATCTTGGATGTAATCCATGTTGTCATATTGGATACAGGCAGGAGGTAACGTCAAGGCATCTAGTACACCCCTCCATGGAGTGGGTGGAACAGGTCTCTGAAAAAAAAAACAGAAAAAAAATTCTTACGAAGTTTCTAACAAGGTTTCAATGTCGAATCTGAAGTAGACGCCCTGTCTCCAAAAATTAGGAAAAAGTAAATTTAAATATTGGTCATAAATTATAACACTCAAATTAACACATTTGTGACCCAACATAGATTTATTTGATCAGTTTTTATTCGACATATATAAAATGAGTATAAATTTAGATTGGGCAACACGAAAGGCCTATTCAACCTTCCTTCACCATTAACAAGGTCAAATAGTCAAAACAATACATTTAAAATATGTTAATCGGATGAAAAATTATAGAAAATATAAAGAATATGTTTTAAACTCAAAATTGTTATAGTACCAAATAAGAACAAAACTGCATAAAATATCACTTAATCTATTTAATTAATATCCTATAATAATGTTAGGAACTTGTTGAAAAATATTTTCTGTGGATCATTACAAAACATTGCATCCTCAAAAATTCAGAAGAGTAATAATTGCGTACCGATTTATATAATACGGTTTTCCCCCTCTGAAATAAAGTGGTTAGAATGGTAATGCAACAGAACAGCTACTAGAATATTATCTCGTATTTTGACGTTTGTATCTTATAAATAGATACACTTGCAAAGACATTGAACGTAGATAGCAGGTTTTTGTGCTTAAAACGTAAAACTTGTAACTTTTGACACGAGAAACCTCCCAAAATGTTAATATTTACAGGTGCTATGTTCGCAGATCGTGCATTTTATTTATATATCCTTGCATTTGCACGTGCTTTGCATTCATTCATGCGCGGGCAAAAATATGTTGGAATGTCAAGCGGGCTTGGAATCAAAGTTCTCCGTTTCGACAACAATGTCCTTATCTCGGGTTCGCAGTTTTTGAAGTAAAAACAAAATTAAAGCTGCTGTCAGGAGCTGAGTTATGTCTTCCAAAACTAACACTAGGTCATCAGCTGAGGTGGCAGAAATGTTTATTTTACGATAAAAACACACACTAAACAAAAGCTGCCTGTGAGCAGTAACCATCCCCCCTAAAAATTAAAGTTATTTCAGCAATTATGAAATTATAAACAAAAATACAAGATCTGGACCGCCCGTTTTTCTCAGTTGGCGAAACATATATTACAGAACTATTTCATTTCATGTATTCTGTATTTTCAATACATGAAAATTTTACACTGAGAAGCATCGAATATAATCTTTTCTCCTATGTTATAATTCTTTTGTTATCCACACTGAAATGGTTGTTGATGTTTATCGAACAGAATACTCAGTATTCTAAATTGTCATAACTGTAAAATATGTTTCCTTTAAATTTATACTTAAATATCAGTAGACTCGTTTAAAGTAACAATTTCGTAAGTTATATGTTCGATACAATAAACTTGTCAGCAAATATACAATCTATCATTAAGTCAAATGCTGACTGGCGTTTTTCATACTAATTTTTAGGCCATTATTTGCTCACTGAATTGTAGACGGATTTTTCTGTTATTTCACGAGCATGACAAGGAGCATACTGCGGTTGTGACCGGTCGGCAGGGGATGTTCATTCCTTTATGGCACATGATCCCATCTCTGATTTTTGGAGGTCCGTGTTTGTTCTGTTCCATTTTTGTATTGTTTAATGGACCTTTGAGCTTGAATACTGTTCGTTATCTCCATATATCTAATATTTACATTGGGTTTTTTTCTGAACGCTTCAAAAAATTGATGTTGGACCTGTCGCAAGATATTGGACCGGAATGACGTTCTTTACGTCTCACTGTACGCGGGATCAGCTTCATCTTATCAATAATTGCATATAATGAAGATGTCCAATGCAATGTATGAACTAACAAGTAAACGGTATAATAAAAAAAATTATTGACTGTGTCATGAGCAAACGGCATTTGTCACCCCTCGAACCAAACTGTCCGCTATAGACCTGATTAACAGCGTCAGAAAAACAGAATGGTTCTTTGGATAAGGCAAAACGCATGTCGTCCTAAAATTTTGTCAATAAGTGTAACTATTATTCAGTATTATCCATTCATGATAAAATTTCATATAGAAATCCCGTTTGATTCAATATGTCTCCTCCTCAGAAACATTTTTTTTATTCTGATATGTCACCGATGGGAAATTATACTGCAGAAATTAAAATACATGTACATTGAACATAAAATCACATTTTAAAAAAGCCATTATTAAAAAAAAATTGCAGTACGCTATCAATAATTTGTGTGAATTGTAATATCTTCAAGTCTTATAATATGTTTTAGTTCACCCTGAAATATTATTATGTAAAAATTTTAAAATTCATTTCAAGAATTTGTTTTTGGTGTGAAAATCGAAAGGCCTAGAAAATTCACATTCCGTCCTATTCACCACATGAAAGAAATATCTTTATGAATGAATTTAAGATTAAAAATAAAGCTTAATCGAATGCATCTCTCGTTTTTCGATACTCACTTTCGACTATTTAGTAAAAAGAAAATATGCTGATATGAACACTACTTCAAAAAAATTTAACATCATGTATTTAATCATTAATAATTTTCAACATAAAATGATGAAATCTTTCCTTATCGTCCATTGCATACATTTTCGTTGGATTTTATTCATTTTTTTTTATTAGTATAACAGACGCTATATCGTGTCAAATGAAGAATTGTAAAGAAATCTCTGATGAATTCTTAAAACTTTCAAAGTGAGTGTCAAATATCATATACATGCAAAATTAACTATTATATCTTTTCATAAATATCCAAAGCTTTCTCTAACATAAAATATAAATGTACATCATTTATTTGCAATTCACACGAACTCCAATTAATCAGAACAATTAATTAGACATCACTAGAAGTTTTTGTTTTCCTCGCTGCGTTTGCACATGAACAAAGGCATCAACCCAACATATACACTTCTTAACCTTTAATATCGTGAAAATCTTAAGATAATAATCGGTTACTGAGCTTTTAAGCTTTTTTATATACAAACCACATCTTTAAATAAATCTGCAGAGAATTCCGACACATGTTCTTTCTTGTGCAAGAACAAGCATCAGATAGTGGTTTCATTTTGTCCAAAGCCTGCAACGGAACTGGTAATATGGTTCCGTTTTACAAAATTCACAACGATTAGACCCTGAATTTTAGCTGTTACTTATATTTTTTTGTTTATACTTAACTTTCGTTAAAATTGTTCATCTTTAAATTTCTCTGACAATTCTTAAAATAAGGATAGAAATCTTTTCAAATTGATGAAATGAAGGAAATTTGCAAGAAGTAGACCAAGAAGTAAGACAGACCTCCCAATGCCATTGACACTCAAAGTCTGTATAAACGACATTTCCAAGAATTCTTAGCCACAGGTTTGGTTCATAAACATGGATTTTAATCCAATTTGGACATTTTTGCTTGCATGGCTGAAATGGCTTTTTAACTAGCGTTAAGTTGATGTGGCATACTAAATCAGCAATAAATGTTCATTAACGTCCAATATACACTACAAAACCGGGCGATATTAGAAATGTTTGTCCGTGGTCGGATCAAAGGTAATGGGAGTACGACGGAAGTGAGTGATATTTGACAAGAAATTTATCAAGGCCATGTTTACTACGGTCTATGTTTACGATTCTTTAACATTATTACATGTATGCCCGGATTTTCCAAATACATAACAATGAAAGAAAATCAAGCTTTCAATATTTTACTTCAATAATTAAAACCCCCGTGGGCCTATTGTAGAATGTACCAAATAACTCAATAAATTGTATAATGGAAATAAAATGCAAAGTTTAACTGTCAGCCTTACAAAACTGAATTGTTTAAATTGTTAAATTACTATTGCATTTTAAAAATGGAATAAGTTCAATCTTTTATCAATTGCAAATTTAAACAATTAAAAATACAAGTTCTTTTATGTTTAAAGGAATATAATTTAAATATATTATTTAAATCAAAGAAAAAATATCAATTACATCGAATACCTCAAATCGAAGTTCCTTTACAGGTGGCGAAGCATACGGAATTCCAAGAAAGGTATTAATCCGTTTACCTGGGACGCGTTCAGTGACAAAACCCCGCACGCGACCGAAGGTCGTCTGCCGAATCAAGTCCTCCGTAGAAGTGCACAGATGAAAGTACAAGACAACAACAAAACACGAACACACTGACAACATTTTGCAGGAAATATCATTTAGAAACTGAGGCTAATACATCATGATTGATATTTATACGGTAAACTCAGGCGTAGTGGGACGCAATAGAACTTGCAGTCTTCGACTCATCAGATAAATTCTAAGAAAAAAAAAGCTTACAGATTGTTTGTAGCTTTTACGGCGCATACTTCGATAAGAGTTAATGTTTATAATACATAAACTATAGTCATTCACAATTTGTTTGCTTCTCGTCAACCCGGAATCTGCAGGTCGACGAGTTATATACTAATTATTTCCTCTTCGTTTCTTTTTACAAGTACAATGTACTTCTCAAGCTTTTCATGAATGGAATATTTTTCTCTTTTTTAATGTAAAAACATTTTAAGAACAGCACCGAATAGTGGGGACATTCCGTGTTAAAAATAACTATATATAATCCTTAGGATTTTGACATGGCGTTTATTTAATAAGGGTTTTCGACTTGGTATTAAAATAATTGTTGGAATTTGAAGGAAATAGTTAATGAACTTGCTAATATTGCCCATTAATAAAGAATGGAATTCGCGTAAAATGTTTGCAATTATTGGTAAGTAATGAGTTACTATCTCAATGATTTGACACAATTCCTGACTGTCGACATTTTAGGAGAGAGAAAGAGAGAAAAAAACGTCTTAAAAAATGTTTTCATTAGTTTTTTAAAGTCAAGTTGATTATTTTGATGGCAAAGGAAATGGACATCAAATTTCTTGAACAACAATGTACTATTGCTTGATTAAATTAAATTGTTTTTCATCGTGGAAACTATATATCTTTTATCAGTTGGATGCATATTGTTTTTGATCTTTCTCTATCTGCAATACGAACATATTTTTCATAAATCTTATGGACTTTAGAGTTGGCACAAAGATAGCTAAAGACCAAAGGGGTTGAAGAGACCCTGATCCAAGGTCACTTGGACAAGTTCAAGGACACAAGGGTTGGAAATCATAAAAACGTCAAACTCATTTAATCTTAACATGGAGAAAATGGAAGTTGACGAAATCTTCCTCTTCAAAATGAAGAATTTTTCAATTTATACAATAATGTATTTGTATTGTTAAATAATACAAATTTAAATTGAAAATTTCTAAATTTTGAACATTGAGGAAAAAAAATAAAATTGTGCAAAAATTTTAATTTGCTGGTCGGGGTCTTAGGAAGATCAAAACGACAGGAATTGGAAATGTAACAGCACATAAGACAAACTTACCCAATACACCTAAATAGTTATTTTCAAGATCTTCTATCAGTTTTGAATATTTTTAATATTCCAAACAACGAAAATGAATTTGAATTACCATATCTATATTGGATAATAAAAATCCTTACAAACAAAAATAGATACCGGGTTCCAGTAAATGTTCTACCTAGCCTCTTTCTTTACTCCTCACTAAAATATTAACAGTAGTGAAAAAGAAACTTTGGGAGTACTGTGTAGTGTGTAACAATATAGTCGAGAAGTGGTGTTAATCAGATGTGAATACTTAAAAATTCTAAAGAACTTTGGAAAATTTGAAATCACAAAATTTTACCAGAATCAACAGCAAAAAAAACTTATGTCTTTTCAACATTATATACAACTATTCTCCACGATAAATAAAAGTTCGGGGCTTTTAGATATCATTAACAAGTACTTTTTCAATAAAAATGTAATTTGCATACTTACTTACTTTGTTACTGGTCATTTGCAAAATTCTTTTGTTAAAAAACATTATGATTGTACATATAAGTACTCTGGAGTTGATATAAAAAAGATGTTTGAGTTTCAAATTAACAATATCAATGCGGTTTTTGGAGACCGGGTCTTCCAACAATCTATTGGAATTCCCATGGGTACCAATTGTGCCCCATTATAAGCTGACTTATTTTTGTATTCAAATAAAGCATAATTTGTCAATAAAAACGTACATGTATATGTAAAAAGAAAAAAAAACACTTGCTGTGGCTTTCAATTCGACATTCGACGACGTTTTATCCATTTACAATGGTTATTTTCCTTCTCATGTCGATACGATATACTCTGCTGAGCTTGAAATAAAAGATACCAGAGTTTGATAAATATGTTCCATATTTGGATATCTTACTTGAAAAAGAGGTTAATGGTGATCAAGCTTTATGATAAACGTTATATGATTTTTTAAACTTTTCAATCGTCAATTTCCCTTACTTATGCAGGAATGTACAGGGTCTCCATCACCTGCATACGGGGTGTACATCTCTCAGTTGATTCGATACACAAGAGCATGCTCTACGTTTGAACAATTTCTAAAACGAGCATCAGCAGTCTCGTTTAAAGTCATCACTTCGTAAGTTCGAATTCTATAGTCGGTACAATGACCTTGTCAGCAAATACAATGTATCTCTCAATTGATTCGATACACAAGAGCATGCTCTACGTTTGAACAATTTCTCGTTTAAAGTCATCACTTCGTAAGTTCTTTAGTCGGTACAATGACCTTGTCACCATTCAGTCAAATGCTTCAACTGTCGATTTTTATACTATAATTGTTAGACCATTACATATAACACTACTTTGTCGACGGATTTTTCCGTTATTTTCTGATCATCTTATTTGCTACTCAAGATTTTGCTCTGAGTACGATCGATTTTTAAAGTGAGGCATGCTATTCATTGTTAAGTTGATGCTATGGGGATTTCTACAACCTCATTTCAAGTTGGCATTTCGTATATTCTATGGTCGTTATAATGGACTTGTTAGCATATATAACCTATATCATTTGGTCGTATTCTGTCTGACTTGTTTCATACTTATTGTTAGGCCTCTACTTTTATACTGAATTTGACTACGGAAAGTTCCGTCTACCAGATCAATACACAGGGCTCACAGCGGGTGTGACCGGTCAACAGGGGATGGTTACTCCTTCTAGTCACCTGATCCTACCTCTCAATTCCCAGGGGTCAGTGTTTTATGCCCTCTTTATATATGTTATTTGTAAATCAATGCGACATAGAACACTGTTCGTAAAATCTTCAACTGACCTTTTACATTTACTAAGTTTTGAATTCCAGAATTTGAGCATTATCGCAGAATGTACAAGGTACAAGGTATTGTCAAATGGTATATCGGTACCAGTAGGTTAGTAAGAAAGTCTCGCAAGCTTTGTCAAGGCTATAGCAATTTGGACGAAATAAAGTTCCAAGATGTCTTTTGGAACATTAAATCACGTTCAGATGCATTTGCATTCCACAAAAAAGTTTTTGAAAATTAATTTGCTGTTATCTGTGTGATAGCCACTCGCAAAATGGGGTAAGATACGTGCGCAGGTGGGACAACATTCCACGCATGTATCCACTAAACAGCACGGCCACCTAGATCAAAAAGTAATAAACTTAAAATTAAAACCAAGTTCAAGAAAAAATACATATGTACAAAGTAGGAAGAAAGTTTCTAAAAATTTTAAGGTGTGGGAGAGGGGTAGGTGTGCAAAAGGTCAGTTACCCCTGGGCCCTCTCCCCAGAATTAAATTAAATTATTTAACGACTCATGAATATTAACCATTTTCCTATCCCCTCTATTTCACAGTGACTGCTCAATTTCATTTCTTATATAAAAAGTCATTATATATTATAGAAATAAGTCAAAATGGTATAGTGTTAAAATACTTGATTTCGACAATAAAAATATCTATGAGAAATAGAAACTGTTATGAAAGATCAGAAGCATATCATTACTATAGTCACTAAATTTAAAGTAACATGATTCACTGAAGTATGAAAATCTCGTCGGCCTTGTTTTAAAAATTTTTTTTACCAAGAATGACTACATTTTATTAAAACAGATGAAAGATATAATTGAAGTGAAATCAGAACAAGTTCGACAGTGTAACATAAAACTTTACAAAGTGAGCCAAACATAGAAATTAGGTTTTTCAAGTGTTAAGTCTGAGTGTTATTTATTGTGGTTTAACATTGTATGTGTATTTTAAAGAGTGCCAATCATAATATTAACAACAGACGATCTTATTTATAACAGCAAAACATTGTTGTCTGATATATATAGTTTCGAAAAATGTGTTTGATACTTTTATACCAGAATAAACAGAAGTTCTGTCTCCAAACTACGTCTATAAGTTTCTAAATCAGGTGCAGATCTTGATATAATTTAACGTTTGAGGTTAGGAAAAAAATGTTCCATTTATTATATTTAAAATGCATACATCTCTTTTTATGACTACAACCTATATTTGTGATTCTTATTAAATTACGAAATCAGCCTCTTTAAAGACTTGCTTGATATTAACTCGGTACTTGCATAATAATATTTTTTTGGTACAAAAGTAATGTTGTAATGCACAATAAGTATAGGTGATTAAAACTTCCATACTCAGAGTTTGTCTTCGGAAATTACATTCACCTAATTACATTGATGTAGGAAGTGTTTTTGACATTTAATAGTAATTTTACGTTGAGTTGCATGCATATGTAAGGCCGAAGTAAAATATCATATATTTTATCTGCAAATTTCCTGGAAATTTCTGAAAAAAAAGACACTATTGCTCAGCTCAAAATGCCTACACGAGTTACCTTCATGTTTAATATCTATATTACCTGAGAAGCATATCAGGTAAAGCATCACAAGGGTCGTTAACTTTATAATCGAGTCAATAAACATAGAGCATATATTATTCCACTTTTTCTTTCTAATCTCCGCACATGTGGTTAGTTAATATTGCATCTCAATGGGTCAATTTTGACTTTGGACTTTACATGATTTTTATTCATTCTTTTTTTTTAAAGAAGAAATGGCATCTATGTATGTCCTATTATAGGTAACTGTTATAACAAGAATTGTGGTATCCCGATTTCGGCGTCTTAATTTGTGTGTGAGATGCACAAGTATCAAGATCATGAGGTCAAAAATCATCAGTAGTGTATTTAGAAATAGAAAGGTCTTGTCAAAGAAAATACACATTTTTAATATGGGAGCCCTATCCCTTCTCATTTAAAAGTTATGGCCAATTCAATGTAATGTTTAATTGTTTTAAAAGTAGGCCAAGGTCAAGGTGTAAAAAATCACAGTGTATTTTAAAAGGTCTTGTCACAGGTAATATACATGTGTAATATGAAAGCCCTGTCTCTTCTCAATCAAAAATCATGTCCAATGTTAAAGTTTTTGAAAAGTACGTCAAACTTCAAGGTCAATGTTACAAGGTCAAAAATAATTGTATACTAGTATTTAGAAAGGTCTCATCACAGATTATACACATATTTGATATGAAAGCACCATCTCTTCTCATTCAAAATTTATGGCCAATTTAAACTAATCTTCAATTTCCTTGTCAAAAATAATTGTGTCTTGTCACAGGTAATACACAAATTTAATATGAAAGCCCCATCTCTTCTCATTCAAAAGTTATGGCCAATTCATTGTAATGTTTGAATTTTTTAATCGATCAAACTTCAAGGTCAAGGTGGCAAAAATCATAGTGTATTTAGAAAGGTCCTATCATATGTAATATATATGTGTAAATATGAAAGCCTCAT